TTATTCGGTGCTGCAGAATGGGGTTTTGTACTCTAAAGAATGCATTGTTTTTCTTTTTTGTTCTGACAATAAGTTTATCATCACCATTATAGACTTTACTTTTAAGAACAGTTTTGTCTAGATCAGTGCTGGATTCATCTGTAAGGAAATTAAGAACAGTTATTTGTATACTTGAGAACATATAAAATCAAATTTAGACAAGTCCCACATTTTTTTTAAACTGCCATAAATGCTCTCATATGAAATTCCCTTTATGCTTTCTTTGAAACCCAATAGAATTCATCTTATTTGTCTGCTTTCGTTGGCTGCCAAGCCCAGCAATCTGTATGGAAATTCCTGTGTAATTACCCAGGTTCTTGTATCTCCCTTTTTGTTGATAACTTCATTCATACACACTGTAAAAGCAACAGTCATCACACATATCTTTTTCATTGGTGTTAGCTGTACAGGCTTGATCCTGGTCCCATTAAGGTAAAGGAGAATTTCAGACTTAATTTGCACTGGATTTCAAACCTATAAACAATAGTCTCCTAGCTATTCTTGAGGCAATACAAGATGAATGTGTCTGCTTAAAAAAAAAAAAAGAAAGAAAAATTCTCATTGACTTCAATGGATTTTGTGCCAGGCCCTTAATGCTTGTGTCCAACTTCGTTGCTCAACGCAAGTTGAATACTTCCGCAGTTAAGTGTTGTTTTACCAGAAGAAAAGCACCATTGGTTATTATTCTTATAATATTATTAGTCTTTTGACTAAAGTGTTAAAGTAGGATAGATAATAGTAAGTCTAACAATCTTTTTCACAACTGACAAAGCAGAACAAAAAAGAAAAAGTTGTTTCCATTCAAAATCATGGGGAAAAAAGACAGATACAAGACAACAGAATTGCTGGATGTTAATCCCAACTACCAAATATGGATTCCCTTTGGAAAGGTGACATAGCTATTTCCCTAGTTCACATGCATGCTAACAGAAAATCTCAATCCTTCAAGAGCTTTTCCAAGGGGATAAAATGCTCAGAACAGATTTGTCAGCAATGTCTATGCATGCCAGAAGTATAAAATTCCAACTCTCATGTACATGTCCCTTCAGAAGCTTTGTGTACAAGAAATATCAATGATTTCTTGACCAGCTGATGTCAATTTTAAAGAAGTAGTATGTAGGACACCCTACACCAGGAGTCAGCAACCTTTCAGATATGGTGTGCCAAGTTCACTGTAATTTAAGGTTTCGCGTGCCAGTAATACATTTTAACTTTTGTAGAAGGTCTCTCTCTATGTCTATATTATATAAATAAACCATTGTTGTATTTAAAGTAAATAAGATTTTTAAAATATTTAAGAAGCTTCATTGAAAATAAAATTAAAATGCAGATCTTATCAATTTAGTGTGATCCTTGCCTGGGATCCTTGTCTGGGGTTCCAGCCACCAGCCCCGCTCAGCCCGCTGCCAACCTGGGGTTCCATTCACTCAGCTGGCAGCAGGCTGAGTGGGTCGTGGCGGGCTGAGCAGGGCCGGCGGAGGGCTGAGTGGCTCAGTCCGCTGCCAGTGTGAGGTGCCGGCAGCACTCAGCCTGCTGCCGTTCAGGGGTTCTGGCTGCCGGCCCCACTCAGCCTCCTGCCGGCCTGGGTGAGCAGAACCCCAGGCTGGTAGCGGGCTGAGGGGGGCCGGCGGCCGGGATCCCATCTTGCAGGAGCTGGCGGATGGAACCCCAGACCGGCAGCGGACTGAGCGGCTCAGCCTGCTACCGGACTGGGGTCCCGGCCACCGGCCCGCTGACGATCTGGGTGAATGGAACCCCAGACCGGCAGCGGGCTGAGCAGGGCAAGCGGCTGGACCCCAGACCAGCAGCAGGCTGAGCAGGGCTGATGGCTGGAACCCCAGACAAGGATCCCAGGCCCTGCTCAGCCCACCGCCAGCCCTGCTCAGCCTGCCGCCGGCTGAATGAATGGAACCCCAGGCTGGCAGCGGGCTGAGTGGCTCAACCCGCCGCCACTCTGGGGTTCCGGACGCTGGCTCCTGCCAGCCAGGGTCTCAGCCGCCGGCCTGCTGAGCCTGCTGCCAGCCTGGGGTTCCCTGGGGGTCCCCAGGCCAGCAGCGGGCGCTGAGTGGGGCTGGTGGCCGGGACCCCGGCTGGCAACGGGGCAACAGCCAGAACCCCAGAGCAGTGGTAGCCTGAGCCGCTCAGCCCGCCGCCGCGTGCCATCAAAAATCGGCTCGCAAGCAACTGGGAGCTGTGGGCGGCTGTGCTTGTGGACGGTCGATGTAAACAAACTGTCTTGTGGTCCAGCAGCGGATTACCCTGATGGGCCCCAGGTTGCCCACCACTGGTGTCAATTCTGTCATGAGATTGAGGATCTGATCAAAAATTCCAAAATATGGTATTTCTTTTGCTGGCAAGCAGACACAAAGAGAAATAGAGACAAACTACTATCTCCTCACAACCACCTGCTCAAGGGTATTGCCAGGCAGAAGATGGTTAAGCATTTATTGCATTGGAAGTCTGACGACAAGGTACCATTGCTAGTACCCAAGCAGCTGTCTGAGTGCCAACCCTCCTACCTTGTGCTGTTTCCTTTGTGTTTTGATTGCTGCCTGGCATTTCCCAAGTAGCTCCATTCTTTAGCTTTGCTGAATAGAAACTTTTTTCTTCAATACACTTAATGGTGGAGAAGCACTACTAAAAGACTTGTTTTGTTTTCCCTTTATTTCAAAATAATTTTACAGGGTATTTACTGGATCTGCACTGCGGAGGATGGAACAGTTCTGCATATTTTCCCACTGTGAACACACAGTAGGTGAGAAATTGGTCCTGATGTAGTCTATGAATATTTAAGTCCACAGATCGCATCAAGCTACTATTAGAATCTAAATTCATGGTCACCTTTGCTGGCAAAACCAGTCCAGAAAAGAGTGGACATGAGACATAAAGAGTCACTTTGTGATCTTGGACAAGTCACTTAGGTCCAGATTCTCAAAAGGTATTTAGGCAACTAACTCCCACTTATTTCAATGAGGATACCTTTGAGGACCTGGGCTTTAGCCTCTCTCTGACTACAATGTGGGGATTATAATATTTTCTTGCCTATCCCACACCAAGGTGATGTGAAAGTGAGTTAGTCAATGTTTGTAAAGATCTTTATAAAGGCATAGGATCAAATTCTGACTGTTCTTGGGGCATTGCGGGGGGGAGGGGCTGGGGATGGGAGCATAAGGAATCCTCTGTTTGTGAACCTGCTTGCTTTCCCTGAGTGCATGGAAAAAGAATGTTTGTCCTGCCAGCTGCACCAGACAACCTGAAGTGGGCATGACCAAGCCCTTGCTTATAATCATTTATATAAACCCAATAGTTTGCCAGGTGCTTTACAGACACGTAGAAAAAAACCCGGCCCCAAATAGCTGATCATTTAAATAATCATCCTCATCACAGGCGTTGCTGTGGCGGGGGGCACATGGGGTCATGTGCTCCCCCCTCCCAGATTTCTGCCAGGTTGGGAGTTGGGCTGAGCGCAGCTCAGGGGGATGTGCCTGAGAAAGGCACCAGTACCTAGAGCTCCCGCTGAGCTCCACTAAGAGACGCCCAGAGCAGGGAAGAGAGATGGGGCTGACAGCGCAGCTCTGCCAGAAAGGATGCGGCAAAGCCCTCTGAGTCCCATCCCTTCCTTGCTTGCAGCTGCAGTTAACCTGCTTGGCAGTAGGTGTCCGGTCTGCACCGAGCCTGCAGCGGGGAGGCAATGGGAGAAGTAAGTGGGGAAGGAGACGTGAAGGGAGAGGAGGCAAGGCGGTGCCGGCTTGAAGCAGGTGTGGGAGCTGCAGGGGGAGTGGGACAGGGGCTATAGGCAACGTATGGAGCGATCACGTGCCCCCTGATCTTTAAATTTTGTCCCCCCCCCATCAAGAGTTACCAGTAGTCTGCTCATCAGCTGGCCATTTGGGAGGAGAGTACATTGCACCCTTTCAAAGGCTGCTTCCGATGAATTCCTACATTTGTTTCCTAGAGGCGGCATTGTGTCTGCCTGTGTTCTCTGCAGGTCGGGTGCTTCCAGATACCACTGGTGCAGTAAATCTCCCTTCCCCATCTTACCCATGCCGCAGGGGCTGGTGATGACATAAAGTGCTAAGTGTTGTATTATTATTATTACAAATCAATGGATGTTAAGATTCCATCAACTTAGAAAAAACCTATAAGGATGAAATCACATTAATATATTCAGTTTGCAGATGGGGGCTGAGGGGAACTAGAGAGAAAAACCGGAGGTACAATCTCTCTCTCTCTCTCTCCAACAGAGCTGTGATGCTGCTATTGACTCCTCTTCACAGTGATCTGAAACCCTACCCTCATCTCAGCGTTATTAACTAGCTAATGGAATGGAGACCAGAAAAGACTTCAACCACTACAGTCAGCACAAAAAGGAAAGGAATCCGGGACGACTGCTTTCCTGGGGAGAATCAGACTATGGAAATTCAATAAAATCAGCATTCAAGTGGGGGGGGGGGGCAGATAGCACAGCCTCTTTATTTTAACTGAGCTAGAGGAAGCAAATATTTTTAAGTTCACATGCTGTTCACCTCACACGAGAAACCAAACCTTGGGCTCTGACACCAGAACACATTAGGTGTTGTTTCAGTGTGTGAACTCCATCTGGTGCCATGATGCTCATTAGCACAAAGACTTTGGCACCATGTATAAATTTAGTTAGTCCCTGAGCTATGATCCAATTACTTTATGAGGCAAGGTGATTTTCTTTTCCTGAAAAAAAAAAATGTTAGCCTGAGTCTAGATACCAGAGATGAGAATAAAACTGAAGAGCTGCAGAGTTTAAAAATCAAATTCACGTCCTAAATTGCTTCTAAATTATCTGAAATGTCTCAGTGGATTAAGTCTAATCAGGTCTGTTTGACATTTTTGGTGATTCTGTCAACACCCAGTAAAGAGATACTTTTAGTTTTCCCCATTTTATTGTCACGATTATGAAAATCATCACACATTCTTGAAAATGGTACCTGGGTGAATGTCTTCTTTTCTTTGTGCATTTCCCGGCTGCCTCTTCTCTTCAGTGAGCTCTGAAACAGATACAAGCAATTCCCGATTATTGACTAGTTGCACCCAAACCCCTGCAGTTGGCAGAGACCATCACCTTCATAAAACTGACACAGTAAGAAAATCAGATTCTTTTCTATTAGCTTTTGCTAATCACAGCCACTTACAGTAAAATGCAATTGCAGTAGTTAAAAGTTCACCAAAGAAGGAAGTCTGTTCCCCATCCCCCCAACTTGTGGCAAAACCTGCTTTCTGCAGAAGTGATTTATGTTTGATTGATCTGGGAGAAATCCAAGAATGTTACTCACAATGGATATGAAACATATTTTGGAAACAGTGCAGAAAAGTAGTGTAGGAAAAGGGAAGACTACGTATGTGTAAGCAACACAGCCTAATCCTTGCCTGTCGCATACACGGAAGTGCTTGATTAAAGGCAGCCTAGTAGCTGCCTCACTTGAGTACTGAATTTATTTTGCAAGTTAGATAAAAACTTTACAGCTTTATTCATTTTTGAATATCATTTCACAGGCAATTGCTTTTACACCTAGGACCCAGAAATGAAACAATTACCACTGTTTCAAGTTTCAACAGTCTTCAGTCATCCAAAGGAAAAGGAATAGTTTTTTCTTATATGTTTACAGCAGGTGTCAAAGTCATTAGTTCTGTTTATCTGAATTTTCTATTTTAGGGCTAAAGTCAATGGGTGTAAGTGAATGGCATCCACTTCCATGAAGCTGGAATTTGGCTTCGGTAGGTTAAAGTTTGGAAGAGAAATGATAATATCCATTATTAGGCAAAGAAGCTGGCAGGCTACAAATCTACAGAGTAGCCTGGATTCAAAACTGACCATCTTGCTTTTTGTATTCCAACCACTTATAACGTTCCAAGAAGAAGCACCCTCCTCACCCACCCTCCTCATCAGTCCATGGCTGAGCTTTCAGACTCCTCCCATCTCCCAAATCTAGCTACTTTAGGCTACTTCCCTCTTCTACTACCTTTAATGGCTTGCTCCATGTTTGTGTAAAAAGAAAATCTATTGCAAGTTGACCACTTTAAGGAGGGAAGGGGCAGACTTTCATAGAGCTAGTACTCGACAGAAAAGATTTATTTTTGTTCAATAAAATAGCCTTCAAATGAGGCCTGAAAAGGAGGATGATACTCCCTAATCATAAATCTAAGAGCATGGCAGCTTCACTACACAGGAGGATTTTATCAGGACAACTTTCATTTATTTTTGTGCAATTGTGAACAATTTCCAGCTAACACAAGCTCAGCATTGTTCCTACTGGTTTGCTCAGAGGCAAGGCTTCCTTTTGGGGCACTTGGCAGGATTGCTGCCTATAGATTATGATTGCCTTGGAGCCCAATCCTGGTGCCATTAAAGTCAATGGCAAAACCTCCATTCGGTCAAATTCTGCTCTGAACTATAGGGGATAAATCAAGTGTTACGCTCTAAGCTTCAATAGTGTTACTCCAGATTTATAACAGTGTTCAGTTAGTTCAGTAAGAACAGGTCTCTGGCTTTGCTTCTCCAGTCATGGGATCAGAGAGGAGGGAGGAACTCTACTAAATAGGTAAATCCACTTTAGTGTCTAGCTATCAGCTGGTAGACAACACATTCTGAACTCTAACTAAGGACACATAAAATGTGGGAATCCAAATAAAAACTATCTATTGCCTCTTGGTTCCTGGCTATTGAACTGGGGTTATTTTAGCTATTAAACTACTATAGATTATAATTAATGCACTCCTAAACTAAATCCCTTGTGTGTTATAAACAGCAAAACTATTTAAAACTTACTCATCCACTACCATATGTACAAGATATTCTACAATTTGTATTTTTAGATGTTCAGAGAGTTAATCTGCTTTCCAGCTTAATGCAATGATTTCCTATAGCTAACATGAAGTCATGCTAGGATAAAAGGTCCTCTGCAAACAAATATATTTTACAAAAATATTTTAAAATATCGAAATTATTATTTGAAAACTTTTCACATGTCCATCAAGGATAACAATACCTTTCCCCCCACCCCAACACCATCTTATTCAGGAAACACATCTACATTTGGATGAAGTCAATAGCTGGAGAGGCAATGTGGTCCAGTGAGTGGGGCTCTCCCCTAGGACTCAGGAGATGTGACTCAGGAGATTGTGACCACCATCCTGTTGTATGCGTATGCGAGTCAGTTCACCTCTCCATGCCTCCATCTGTGTTCCCACTCGTAGGCTATTGTCACATTCTGGGATGCAATCCAGACCAGTCAGAGATTGTGTCACCGCCTGCCCCACAACCTGGGGTGTCTCACAATGCTTTGCTATTGTTGCTCCCAACCTGGGCTGCTCACAAACAGCCAACAGGTCACACCCTGAATGTGTGTGTACAGCTGCAGCTCTGACTCCAGCAGCCTGTCAGCAACACACCACCCACATTCTGACTTCCACCTGCCTTGCTTTTTACTTGCAGGGTAATCCCAACAGACTCCCAGTCCTGAATTTTCCCCCAAACATGTGTTCTGCACTGTCCAGCCCTCTCCTGGACAGATCAGATATTATAGGTCCGTTGCCCACATGGTAACAAGTTATAGTTTAGAGCAGAAAGATGGACCCTAAGTCATAGGACCAGCTTGTTGTTCCCCTCTACTTTGCATTAGTGCCACTTTCTGATCAGATTCCTCTACAAACAGAACACCATTAGGCTGGGATACTGATCTATATTGCCATGTGGGAAAGTCCCAGGTTCAATTCCCAGTTCCAGTCTCTCACTTTCTTGAGAGGTAGTGGATTCAGCTCTGGCTGCTTTTTTTGGGGGGGGGAAGGGGAGGGGAAAGAAGAAGATCTCACTTACTCTTAGTGTCCCCTCCAACTAATGAAGGAGCTGTGCTGCTGGGCTTCAGTCAGAATCCTGTGCAGTCCTCTTTATACAAATGGACAGATCTATGGTGATAGGGTGTGTGCAAAATTGAGAATAATAGATACAGATCAGATCACTAGGAGAGGAACCTTGACCTGTAGCACAGGTATTGTATTTAGCTTGAAAAAGGAGTTTGCATATTGTTTTAGTGCAGAAGCACCTCCTCCCTGGCCCAGAAATGGTATGGCAGCAGCCTGCCATTCTATAGCACCTGTGCGCAAAATTCGAGTGAGCAAGAGAATGTGAGTATGTAGAGAGCAGGGTGGTGAGGTACAGAATGAGACTACATAAAGCTGTGTGTAGGGTAGGAGGGGTGGGCAAAATAGTTGTGCATAAGCCTGAGTGAGAGAAGAGTGCGAGACCAATGATCCCCACACCCTTGATGAGTGCATGTATGGGAGGAATGCAAGATCCCCACTCCACCCCTATGTGCACAGGATGCAAAGGAGTATGGGACAGAAACCACCAGACCCTCTAACTGGGACTAGGGTGGTGTGAACTATTTTAAACAGAAGAAGTTGGTAGCGTGGATTAGGATGGACCATTTGAGTGAGTGAAGTTAAAGGAGTGTAGGAAATGAGCACTTCTAAATGGTGAGCAGGAAATGGGATTGGGGAGGCAATTTTAATTTATGCAAGGAGGCCAATTCTCATATTGCTATGCTTCCATACCCAGGAAACCAGCCATGTACTTAAAGACCACCGATAGTAGACAAGGTCAACAAAAATTGTCTCTGAAGATAGGTTGCTACTTGATAGAAGTGGATGTTTCACTAGAACAGGAAGCCTCAGGAGTGCTCTCTGCTAAGAAGGAGATGTGAAGTTGCACCCCATAATGCTTTATAGAAATATGCTTATGAATGTAAATATGACATAACTGGAATACGTTTTATGCTACATATGCCATGTAATATATCTTTGCAAAGGTCATGTTCTACTGAATGTATTCATCCTATTCGTATGCATGTATTATTTTTATATCTGAAGTTATGAACATTGGCTCTTGCTTGTATTTAAAGTGTTTGTTGTAGAAAGCACCTAAGGCAGATTTGGTCAACATAGTGTGAAGGGGTTATTCAAGTAATTGGGAGTACTTGGCCAACAATGGACCTTGATAGACACCAATCCATATCTGAGCTTTCCTGGGAACATTCGGGCTAATATGGCATCGGCCTGTAAAGCACTGAGTCATGCATTGACATGTGACTTGCCCAGTTGATTCCAAAACTCCATCTTGTAGCTGTAAGTCTACACAGGGGGAGGCTATATAAGCCCATTGGAAACCCCTCCACTTTGTCTTCAGCTGGCTCAAGAGATAGCCTCTCCACCCCAAAGGATGCCTGAAAGAAACTGGAACAAAGGACAGTAACCACAGGGGTGTGAGTGATTGCTGAACCCAGACTAGAAGGAGGCTAGTCTGTCAAATAAGCTTATTGGAACATCTCTGAGAGTGAGATTTGCCTGCATTTAGTTTCCTACTGTATTAGGCTTAGATTTGCATGTTTTGTTTTATTTTGCTTGGTAATTCACTTTGTTCTGTCTGTTATTACTTGGAACCACTTAAATCCTACTTTTTATATTTAATAAAATCACTTTTTACTTATTAATTAACCCAGAGTAAGTATTAATACCTGGGGGGAGGAGGGGCAAACAGCTGTGCATATCTCTCTATCAGTGTTATAGAGGGCGAACAATTTATGGGTTTACCTTGTATAAGCTTTATAGAGGGTAAAACTGAATTATTTGGAGTTTGAATCCTATTGGGAGCTGGGTATCTGAGTGCTGGAGACAGAAGCACTTCTTAGCTGTTTACAGTCAAGCCTGCAGCTTGTGGGGGACGTGGTTCAGACCTGGATCTGTGTTTGCAGCAGGCAAGCGTGTCTGGCTCAAACAAGGCAAGGTTTTACTGAAGTCCCAAGCTGGCAGGGAAAACAGGCTGAGAGGTAGTCTAGGCACGTCAGGTGGCAGTCCCAAAGGAGGTTTCTGTGACCCAACCCGTCACAGGAGAACTGCTGTTAACATGTTCCATGACATTTTTAGAAGCTTATAATAAATGTGTATGGATGCAATGGCTGTAGCCTGTTACCATGAGCAGCCAATAGGAGGCGTT